CAGTATATGTAAAGTGGTAAGAATACTCAACTGGAAAATCATATGAAATACGTCACATTTTTTGCAAATTGAATCCAGTATATATAAAGTGGTAAGAATACTCAACTGGAAAATCATATGAAATACGTCACATTTTTTGCAAATTGAATCCAGTATATGTAAAGTGGTAAGAATACTCAACTGGAAAATCATATGAAATACGTCACATTTTTTGCAAATTGAATCCAGTATATGTAAAGTGGTAAGAATACTCAACTGGAAAATCATATGAAATACGTCACATTTTTTGCAAATTGAATCCAGTATATGTAAAGTGGTAAGAATACTCAACTGGAAAATCATATGAAATACGTCACATTTTTTGCAAATTGAATCCAGTATATGTAAAGTGGTAAGAATACTCAACTGGAAAATCATATGAAATACGTCACATTTTTTGCAAATTGAATCCAGTATATGTAAAGTGGTAAGAATACTCAACTGGAAAATCATATGAAATACGTCACATTTTTTGCAAATTGAATCCAGTATATGTAAAGTGGTAAGAATACTCAACTGGAAAATCATATGAAATACGTCACATTTTTTGCAAATTGAATCCAGTATATGTAAAGTGGTAAGAATACTCAACTGGAAAATCATATGAAATACGTCACATTTTTTGCAAATTGAATCCAGTATATGTAAAGTGGTAAGAATACTCAACTGGAAAATCATATGAAATACGTCACATTTTTTGCAAATTGAATCCAGTATATGTAAAGTGGTAAGAATACTCAACTGGAAAATCATATGAAATACGTCACATTTTTTGCAAATTGAATCCAGTATATGTAAAGTGGTAAGAATACTCAACTGGAAAATCATATGAAATACGTCACATTTTTTGCAAATTGAATCCAGTATATGTAAAGTGGTAAGAATACTCAACTGGAAAATCATATGAAATACGTCACATTTTTTGCAAATTGAATCCAGTATATGTAAAGTGGTAAGAATACTCAACTGGAAAATCATATGAAATACGTCACATTTTTTGCAAATTGAATCCAGTATATGTAAAGTGGTAAGAATACTCAACTGGAAAATCATATGAAATACGTCACATTTTTTGCAAATTGAATCCAGTATATGTAAAGTGGTAAGAATACTCAACTGGAAAATCATATGAAATACGTCACATTTTTTGCAAATTGAATCCAGTATATGTAAAGTGGTAAGAATACTCAACTGGAAAATCATATGAAATACGTCACATTTTTTGCAAATTGAATCCAGTATATGTAAAGTGGTAAGAATACTCAACTGGAAAATCATATGAAATACGTCACATTTTTTGCAAATTGAATCCAGTATATGTAAAGTGGTAAGAATACTCAACTGGAAAATCATATGAAATACGTCACATTTTTTGTAAATTGAATCCAGTATATGTAAAGTGGTAAGAATACTCAACTGGAAAATCATATGAAATACGTCACATTTTTTGCAAATTGAATCCAGTATATATATAAAATGGCAATCATGACATACTTAATGAAATAGCAGTAGATTTCATTTTGCAGCTGGTCTGAAAATCTTAGATATAATGAGTAAATTATGTTTGTTACTACAATTATATCATATTTTCCCATATAGTTGCATTGATAATTTGATGAAACTCTTACTAGTTTAAACAGATGGCATGAAAGATACAGTCCTTTGTTATTAAACAATCCATTTAGAAAAAAGTATTTCTTAAATTGAATGTAGCATAATCCAAAAAATAGCCAATGTGACAAAAATAATGAGAAAAGCATAAAGTTATTACTTGTATAACAAATCTAGGTACATGAATTTAGTTTTACAGGAAATAAAGTTCCTGAGGTGAAGTTTTTCAAAATGTACTCTCCTATGTGCAGTTTTTAAAAGGCCAAATACTAGAATTGATTTAATTTATGTCAGGCCATGGTTAAGGAGTTACTTTCATGTGTGCTTGTGATATTTATTCGGGATGTCCTGAGTTTTCCCAAGAATGGCAGGAGGAGTGTCTGTATGCTGTTAAACCTCATTATTTTCATTCCCTTTTTTACCTCATTTCATTTACATTGTAGATTTACAGTTTTGCAGTTTGCTTTATATGGAGTCAGTGTGCATTAGTCAAGTTGATGGAGAGTGTTAGGATGTACAGAATCATTTCTGTTTGGTTGAAATGGTAATATGAAAATAGTCATACAGGTATGACAGCGAACAAAAATAAATATTTAAAGATTCTTCCAATGGCTATTTAACTTTGTTTTCTTGGACCTTAAATCCAATGTAAATTTTATTGACTGCCATGGCCTGGTATTACAGAAAGGGTGAGTGTATTGTATTTCATTGTTAAGTTGATGTTCCATACAGAAGTATATTGAATGTTGCTCTATTTCCATGCTGATTTTCTATAATTGTAATTTGCCAATATATACAGTAGTTACTATTTTCTAACCAGTGGTGGTGGTGGTTCTTCCAATAAAAAATA